CGCGCGTCTTGTGAATTAGGCTCAAGTTTATCGTACGGGATGCATATTCTGCGTGGTGTGTGCTGCGTATGTTTGTGCGTGTGGATGCGTATGTTAGCGTCCCCTTAACGGACCACATGGAAAATGCGCTGAATCAACACAGGAGCTAAATCAGGCCATGGCACTTCATAACAAATAGCATTTAGACGCTTTTCCTGGTAGTGTTGTTGAGGAACGTGATTGCACACACTGGACTTCGTGCGTTAGGTCCTGCAGAATACTTGAGTATTACTTTGTATCCCCCTTAGCTGCACAACCTATCGCCGCAGGATTGACGTCACCATAACCCTCCCCCCAACCTCATCCCATTTCAATGTAACCTCTGCCCCAAAACCTCTAGTGCGAAATTCCTAACCCTCACTTTTCATTTAGTCTGACGACGAACAAGCGCTATTTTTTTCGAAAATTCACGAGTATAATTCGATTTTCCGAAGACATTTCTTTTCAGTATATATATATATAAACGTCTTCTAGTTTTAGTCGGTGCAGATGTTGAGCACTCACTATTTTCATATTTTTCTGTTGGTATCTGGTGTCCAGATCCAGTGGACACCAGCCGAACTGCCCTGATCGTCTTCCACAAAAAGGCCGATGACAAAGACCAATATCTTGTGCCGCGTCTGTGTAGCCTCGCTTGAGCCCCCTAAATGGACCGCGTGAGAGATGAGCAAGAACAACAGACTGGCCAGATCAGGACACGGCAGGCATTATTCGGGTTGCGCTTTCATAACAAACACTGCATATGAGGAGGGGCGTTTGTGGCATGGGTAGATGCATGCTAACGCCGCGCCAACCACCTGCACGCCATAATTATGTGCGTATCACCTGCGCCCGAACCCACCTCTAGTTTTATCAACTCTGTCATGACACCGGTCATGGGCGGGTGAAGGACGAGAGAGTGCGGTAACTGCTGCGCAAGTCTATTTTCACTTAAAACTAATCCACACAAAAGTCACCGCGTTTACTTTCAGTTTGCTGAAGCTCGTGGTGTATATAGTCGAACTGGACGATCTAACTGCCGTGTATTTACTGCCATAGCAGAAACCGTACATAAAACATCTGAAGTCTCACGGACCAG